TATATGTATGGGGTGTCCCCTATCGGGCCTATTCAGGGGACACTAACCAAAAACGTGAAATTGTCCCCTTAATAGGGGTTTTGACATGTTTTCATATTACGATGACATACAATTCTTCATAATTTTATTTTTATTGACCGTAATTAGTAGAATTAAACAGTAGAATTATAAATAATTCATAGCAATATTTTTTTAAGGCAAACACAATTCATTTATAATATGAAATCAGCAGAAATGTAATTAAAACAACAGTAGTTTTATATGTTCCCAATATTGTTTTATGATGCAATGTTAATGAATGAAATAGAATCCTATAAATATGTACGAAACACGAAGAAAATGAAATCCCAATGGTTAAGGGTCAAAATTGACAAGATTGGTTTATACGAAGTAACACATGAAGTATACCTTACCGATATTCACTCTAAGGATTTGGGGAGAAAATTCTGGTTTATTTCTCAAATTTCAAATTCAAAATTCAATTTTCAATTTCAATATATTCAGAAAAACCCCGGAACAGAGAAGTAAAGTAGTAAGCCTACCATAACTTTAAAACTATAGAACAATTTAATTAATAGGAGTTTATAGTTAGTCATACATATACCAGAATAATAATTCTGATTTAGCTTTACTTAAATCCCGGATTACCGCCGCTGGTAACAACAGGGTTACATTTTAGCTTTAATTTCATCAAATATAGGCCTATAATTAAAAGTTTGAAAATATTTTCGGCAAAAAGATCGATTATATTTTCGTTCAAATATTAAAAGTTGTCCCATTTTCCAGTGGCGAACCCGAGGCTCTTCTACCACCCCCCCCCCCCCCATCCTCCAATTAAAAAAAAAAAAATGTTGAAGAAAATGGAAAATTGCATTCAAATGCAATCTGAGAGTGCCGTTTTCCGGCCATCCACAGGTGCCAAAATCATAACATTTCTTACCTCAGTCCCAACCATGGTGGGGCTGAGGTGGATAAACCATATATCTCTGAAAATCCCTCTTTGTGCGCCCCTCTATTACGAATTCCTGTAACCACCACTGTTTTCTCAAAAGGAAGATCATTAGTATAAATAAAAACGCTGTAATACTAATGTCTTCATTTTTAAAACATAAAACATCACATTTTTGGGATCGTATAAAGGTCGATATGCAATTTATTATGGTATTTGATGTCAGGCCTACATGGGTCGAGGTTTGTCTGGGAAATCACAAAATTGGGTCCCAGAGAAAAAAAAAATGTTCGGGAAGCAGGGCTTTATGCATATGCGGTATTTGAAGTAGGGAACGATCGTCAGCGCAGTGTGTGCACCAGTAGCTAAATGTTTGGTGTTTTCTTATTACATCAGGCTTTCAGATGAAATCTGCTTTTGACGAGGTACCAGATGAAAAGAAGCCACAGTTCACTCTAGATTCTACAATGCGATTCTCCTATCAATATCCACAAACGAAGGATGAGTTAAAAGCAAATATTAGTAATAAATACGGATGCTATAAGAACCTACGCCAGCCCGCGACTGGTATTGGTAAGTTTCAAAGCACTTGTTGAATAAAATTTCTTAGTATTAATAAATAGTGTTACATTTCAAACATACTTAATTAACAAAATAATAATAATAATAAATTTCGTGATATGTATAATCAATACACCTTCCTATACATTTATTTATTTATTTATACAATACATTTCAATCCTTGACCGCTTTTGATCAGTTTTTCTTGAATACATAGATATTGTGTAAATCAAATGATTGATTTATACCAGAATGTGATATAGGGCCCTATTATTTTTTAATCATATTTAAATTGTGTTATATTATGTTCTTCTTGCTATTTGCTTTGTAAATTGTATTGTAAGAATTGTGGGTATAATTTATGTATTTTTTAATTTACTGTTATTGTTGCAATAGTATGATATTATATATTGCTTTTTATGTTCAAGTGTGTACTTTTATCTGATATCCTCTACCTCGCTAAGTATTTAGTGAGCTGAATTTGAATAAAATAAAATAAAATAATTTTGTTGTGAACAAAAAACACCTTAAGCTTATTTTCCAAAAAATCGTCACACTTCAACGTAGATGTCTCCGACGCAATTGGGAAAGGCTCCCTGATTCGACCGACCAATCAACATCGGTAAATGCTGTCATCGATAACATTTACCGATTTTATGGAAAACAGGATTAACTATCAAATTAACGATATGAAATTTATAATTTTACAAATTCTTCACAGTTCCCACCGCGGCCAACGATCAGATGAACATGCGTACATTTACCTCGTACGACCAGTTCTTTAACAGGCCGTACAAACCCGGTCAAGCCGAAATATATGAAGCCGTAAGAACCGGCAAGATGGATGAATATATGCGACTGGCAAACGATAAAGGTAAGGCAGACACTAAATTAGAAACTAAAATCATTAAATGATGTCATTAAATAGGCCTTTTGATGATGATTATGATGATGATGATGATGGTGATGATAATGGTGGTGATGATAATGATAGTGTGTGGTTGTGCTGTACATTATATTGATGTTGATGGCAATGCGGCGCCTGTTTGTAATAACCATTCAATGGCGGAATTCTAGTTAGAGGGGACCACTGACTTTTACAGATAGAGCTTCCAAACCATTCAGCACTCCAATATATTTCAGGCTGACGTACGATATTTTATAGCTATGGCACCTTTATTTGCCGGAAACTCTCAGATATAAGCCTAAATGTTTTTCCAACAATTTATTTTAATTTTAGGGCTC